ACGCATTGAATGATTGACAAGATTTCGTCCCTTTGCATCAATTTTACAATCAGCAATAATATTTTTGAGCATATTATTATGAGAATGTTTTCCAAGTGTAGAATCACAGAACCAATTACCATGATATATTTTTTGTGAAGTATTAATCCTTAAAAAAAACTCAGTAGTTTTACAATCTTTTGGTCTTTTAGATTGATATAATAAAATATCTGCTACTGAAGAATAATTATTTGGTTGATCTGCGGGAATATAATTATGTCTACCAGCATTGTATGTATTTTTGGCACCTCCTGCATTATTTTTTTCACGAGGTATATTTACTTCAATACTGCGATCTTCATTAATAACGATCCAGAAATTTTTTAATCTTTTTGGATCACCACCACGCAGATTACAAAGAAGTGTTAGCCAAAACCAGACACGATATGTAAGACCTTTTGGTGTATCAGTTTGCATATTTGGTGAATTAAGAATAGTTTCAATTTCCCACATTTCAAGTGCATCAGTTTTCTTACGAGATGTATCTTGATTATCTTGAATTATTTTAATTCGATCATCAAAAATTTCATGAAGCCGTTTCCATTTATGCCTATCATGAATATTAATAAGTCTAATTTGATAAAAAATATCGGATAACCCTCTAGCAATTGCAGCAAAGCCTACATGCCATGAAGAAGGTGCATATTCTTTTTTTCCAGATTTTCTAACGCCACAAAAGAATTGATAAAGCTGATTTTGCAATGCAGTATCATCTAATGATTCAAGAGATTCAGTCAAATTGGCTGCATTTTTATAAGCATTAAAAAGATTCATCCAAGTTTTTGTACTATCATCTGTATTAGTAACGCGAGAGTAAGCTTGAATATTTTGTAAATCTTTATCAGTAGGAATAACAAATCGTTCATGTGTTGTTGATAATTTGTTCTTTTTAGTAGAATTATTTGATTTAGTTAATAATGTTTCCTTGAAAATATCAATAAAACTATTAATTATTTTATTTTTTTTATTTATATTTTTTAAAAAAAATGCAAAGATAATACCATCTTTATCTTATAAATCTTCAGATATTTGTTTAAAATGTAAGTAAAAAAAAAAATGATGAAAATAATTTTTTGATGAAAAGAAAAGAAAGAAATAATTATTATGCATGTGATCAAAAGTATAAAAAAACTATAAATAATGAATGAACACGTGATAATAACAATGGTAATTATTATCACAAATCACACACTCCTGGGTATAACTTAATAATTTCATGGGAATCGGAAAACCGTAGTTTTTTTCCCTACGGGAAAAAAACTGCGATATTCCTAACTCCCCATGAAATTACTTATATTAATAAAAAGAAGGCTATATAATATATATAATGAAAAGTAAAGTAGATACATAAATTATTTGCCGCAGTGTGAGATCATCTGACGCGCAGTATTATTTGAAACTAATCAACATACTGTAAATAAAACCAAAATTCACAAAGCTATTACGATAATTACATAGATATTAAACCTAATATCAAAATGTTCCGCGTATCCCTTCCCAACTTCCTAGCTTTTTTTTAGTTCATCTTAACAATTCAGTTCTATCTTTCGTTTGCTTTGAACGAGAATTTTTATCACATTAAAATCTTTTGATATGGTCTAATTAATATATAATTTTGCTGCATACTAACCTCAATCTATCCCTATCAAGAATCGTTCAACTTCGTCTTTAAATGGCTTCTAAATGAAATAAAAAATACTTATTTAAAAAAATGTAATCACATTATGAATCTGTTAACATTTTGGGTCATCTATTATTTAAACTTTATGGAAAATTTTGGAAAAATTGGAAACTTTAATATATTTCCATTTTATCGCAAATTTGTCAGAGATATAAGTGATTAATAAAGCAGTGGCGGCACTCTTCCATAGTGCCTTTCTACCTTTGTAACTTCAACATTTTAGCAGCTTTAAATCTCCTTTACATTCTTTTAAATAAAAAGGTAATACTTCAATGGATCCTTCCTTCCATTTACATATATCTAAAGAATTTTTTTTTTACAAAAAATTGTTTGCTGAAACTTACAGTTCTTCTTTTATTGGAATCCGGCCTTATTTTCATTGACTTGTATGTCTAATTATATACTTAAAGACATAAATAGTTATTCTTGTATAAATTAAAAATTAAAATCATTAATTTCCTTTATTATTGTTTGTCTCTGATTTTTTAGATCTAATCATTAAATCTTCAACTATTTTAATATTTTAGTTAGGAATGAAATGTTATTAACAAATAAAATTATTATTATTAAATAAATTAATCAATCAATTACTATCGGATATAAATTCTTTTAGATTGTTTATTTACTTCGTTGCTTGTTACTTTAAAATTAATTTAAAAATTCAAGTATCAAATAATTATTACTTACTAAATCGGATACTACCAATTTGCATACTTTGATAATCTTTAAAGGATTGAGGATATTAATTAATTGTGTTTCAATGATTTTTTTTTTATGGTATTAATTTTCTTAAAATAATCACCTTCTTATTCTTCTGTTAATAAAAAAATTTTATAATAATGATTATAATTTAGCTAATAAGAAAATAAAATATAAGTAACTTACCTTGAGTAGCATTTCTTGGTACTGGTAAAGTTTCAAACACATGAAGTTTACTAAAAGCACTTGCAAATGAACTAAGACTCAGTACCGTATTATTTACTTGTAAATATGTATTATTAGTGCTATTAATTAATTGTTGTCCATTTTTAAACTGAAGTAACATTTCTTTAATTTGTTTGGAAACAGTAGAAATGTCGGGTCTTTTTAATGGATCAGCATCCCAACATTTTTGCATTAGCTCTTGATATACTTTTGGAGTTTGCGGTATAATTTTTGGTCTCATTCCACATATTATTCTATATGAAAGATAATAATCATGCTCACAATAAGCATAAGGTGGTTGACCGCATGAAATTTCCCACATAAGTATACCAATACTATAAATATCCGATGCGTAAGTATATTTTCTATTAACTAAAACTTCAGGTGCTATATAGGGAAGATTTCCATAAATACTCTTTAATTATCAACAGGACCACAAAATCCGAGATCACTAATATACCAATTAAATGTTTTTGATGAATATAATATATTTCCGGAATGCAAATCTCTATGGACCGCTTTTTCTTGATGAATTCTAATGAGTGCATTGATAATATGAAAAATAATTTCAATTCTATTTTTCCATTTAAGATTATCATGACTTTGTTGCAAATATTTTCCTAAATCCATATCCATTTGAATCATTACAAGCATATAATCCTTATTTACTGTGTTTTGTGATAGACCAAAACATCTTACTATATTAAACCACTTATTGCTTATACGTAAATGCGATTTGGCCTATAAAGAAAAATTTTATTAAATATGATTTACTTCTTGATAAATAATGAAAATTATATCTTCATACCTCATCAAACCACCTTCTATTAGCACTTTTAATATTTTTTAATGTTTTAAGTATTACTTTATACGCACCAAATCTTACTAATTTTTTTTGATTAGCATTCCATTTATAATAAGGGCCTTCATTCCAATCTGCTGTGTAAATTTCAGAGCATCCACCTTTAGTTAAATACTTAAATTTTTCTAGCTTTTCGTATGGGATCCACTCAATTATTTTGTTTGGTACAAGGGATTCCATTTGACATCCCTGTATTAAATGATCAATATCATCATTTTCTGATTCCCAAGTTGAAAATTTTGTCTTTAAATAATTTCGAATACAATGCTCACAATATGACGTAGCTAAACATTCCATTTGACAATTTTCACAGGTTCTTTTTGTTCCTTGATTATAAATTATTTTATGATAATCCAAACGTTTATTTAATATTTTTATAGATTGATTTTTTTCATTTGGTTCAAGAGTTGTTTGTTTAATATGTTGTATTCTAAATTCGTGTTGCTTTTCTATATCATCTCGACAATCAACTAATAAATTAGCTTCACAAATTACACCGTAAATTGATTTAATTTCATCCGTTTTGTATGTACTCATAATATTAAAATTAAAGAGTTCTGGAATTTGACTCTGTTAATTTAATGTAATTATTAAACAGAAAATGAACGCATATTTTCATTTTTATATTTAATTTTTTACTACGCCATAAATTCTCTAAAAATAAATGCATTACGCCTAGTGTGAGCGTTGAATGCATACGTATAATATGTCACACATTACAGTAATCATTTTAAGTTTTAATAGAATTTCTATCTATGAATTATGGTAAAGAAAACCCGGATAACGATTAACCCTAATTTCTAATCCTTAAATCCGAAGCCGTGTAAACATTATAGCATTTATTTGACATCCTGTGTAACAAATATGTTTTGGTGTACATATATTAACCACGCCTCGACTTCAATCAGAAGCTAAGTCTAGAATTACTATTCTATGAATGAAATTTTACTGAGCCATATGCATGAGAAAGATCATTTCCATTCTGCTTTATGAAGATAGCTTTAAGAACCATTAATTTTATTTAATTTTGATCAACTAGAGGGCGAAATTACTCTAATTATTCTTACATCACACCAAAATAATTGTCCAAATCTGTCCACCATCCAAAATGGTCCATAGTCCAATACTATTTTACATTCAAAAAAATAGCTCACGCTTATGACGCTTCAAATTTTTGTTACGATAATTTAAAATTTTATCTGTCTAACACAAAGTTTGCTATAATAATTTTGTCTTAAAAATAAAATATAAATTTGGAATTTTTTACGGATATCAATTTCGAAAATCGGCCATCCATGTATTTATTCACTATGTTTGCTATCATAATGAAAACAGGCTTATAAAGACGGACTCTTCATCAATGAAACACATAAATGGAACTTATCTATGGAATTATTCATCAATGATGGAACCCATCTATGGAACATGTAAATGAAACAAATAGCGATCTTCAATAGATTTTGTACTAAAAAAAAAAAATTTTAAAAAAATGTTTTTAATTCGTGATTTTTCCTTTTTTTTTTGACGTCAAGAATTTTTATTTATATTATAATATTTTAGATAATAATGCATACATTCGTAGCATACTCAAGAAATTAACACATTAGCAATATAAATATGATTGAATTCTCGTTCGTAGACAGACCATACAAAATATCAAACTATATTAGGAACGTATCTAGAAGGAACTTTATCGAAGTCAAAAATCCCTAATTTCTATTATCAAAAAAACAATATCTTACGAATTAATTTCGCTTGATGGCAAAGAAATTCTGATTTGACACGAAAGAACATGATTTTTTTTGAACTAATAATTGTTTTTATTTGCTGATTTCTTATAAAATTAAACAAAATTGTTTGACAAACTTTTCTTTCAATTTTACTGTATATAATGTTATATCGATATTATTGTATTTCTTATTGATTTTTCTATTTTGAATAAATTTACTTTTTTTTAACAATACTTTGAAATGGGAACCCAAGCAATTGGGATTTATGATTGATTATCTAAAATTTGTTAGTAAAGATTACTTAAATTTTAATTGTCTTTCTCTTTCATAATAATAACAGATTTCGTGATGTAAAAAATAAAAACATGTTGAAGGAAGCTAATGTTTTAATAAATATCTTGCATAATTCGTCTAAATTTATAGAAATTTTTAATTTTTCCGCAAGGAACCTCAACTGTAATTTTATTTACGTTTTTTTGTTTTTTTTGTTAATATGAATGGATGTAAAATATATTGTATATGATCAAAAAATAATTGTCAAACAAATTTACTAATCTTTGTACTAACCTATAATTCTTCTTAACCCGAGTACAAGTATGCAAAGTTACATAAAAAGTTTATGATAACTTGTGTAATAAATTGAAAAACAATGATGGAATTAATCAGCGATGCGGAGATACGGAGAACAAATATAGCAAAAGTAAAAATCATTAGGTTGTAAATTCATTATAAAAAGGGAAAATCTTCTGTATAGATTATAATAATGTAACTACAATTAATAAGGTAAAGTATATTCGTTTTTAATGGAATTATGTTCGTTTAAATTGAATAATAAATATATTACCAAGATTACTAACATAGGATTAACAACGAAACCTTTACAACTAACGACTAGGAACTAATGAGTTATCATAAAACCATGCCCGAATAAATGAAATTAATATTAATTGTAAATTATCGAAATTGAACAAACTTTATTTGATAATTGAATTATATCAACAATTATTACTTTTCTTGTTTTATTAAATTTACCCATACAACATCACGTGACTTATGATGCTGTTAAAAAAAAAGAATTTTTTTAGTAAAAAAATTGTCGCAAAATATTTCTCTCCTAATTTTTTTTAATACATGTATATTCGGTGAGAAAATGTAGGTGGCGTATTGGACATCAGGACTTTTGTTTATAAATTAATTGTTTAAACATATCCGATTAAAAGCCATTCTTTTAAATCTACAAGAAAATTTTTAATTAATATAATAAAAAAATCCATGGATTTTTTTTTAAAAAAACAACCCGATTAACCTTTTTTCAAAAGGCAACATAACAACCTTTTTTAATTGCATAAGCACAATCCCGATGAATTTTTTTTTGTAATTTTTATAGATTTTTTTTTTAAAAATATTCCGGTTAATTTTTTTTTCAAAAGCAATCCTTTTTCTCAAAAGTTAACCCAACAACCTTTTTTTTCAAAAAGCAATCTGATTAACCTTTTTCAAAAGGTAACCGAACAATCTTTTTTTTTAATTGCATAAGCACAACCCAATGGATTTTTTTATTTAAAATATTTATAGATTTTTTTTAAAGAAAATCCGGTTAATTTATTTTTTTTTTAAAAAAAAAGAAAATCTGGTTTTAAAAAAAATTATTTTAGACAAAGAAATTCTTCGGTTCTATTAAAATTTATTAAAATTACTATGACCTAAAGATAATAATCTCAACTCAATAATCGTGCTTTAAAATTCAGAAAATTTTAAAATGAGAAATCCAAATTTTTGGATCAATAAGTCTTGTTCTTTAAAATTTGAAATACTTCATAATCTTCTATTGAGAAATTCTCGTCCGTATCTCTTATCGCCTTTTCATATTCACTCAAGTAACAATGATTAAAATTATAATTTTCCTCATCATATTTTTCATTTTCTAAACAAAGGTCACTAAAAAATGTGGGACCACAAAGAGAGTTATAATATAAGGCCCTACCCGCATTCTTTACATGACTTAAGATTGGAATTTTGAAATTATCCTCATCCTTAAAAGAAAATATAAAACTATCCTTGGTTTTACCATATTCACGAACATGAGAAGGAGTTTTCCATATTACAGGATTATATCCTCCAAGAATTTCACCAGATCCCTTCACTTTAATGAATGTAACTGTACAAAGTATATCATCACATAATTCATGAAATTTCTTTGGAGTAAATCCATCTCGGCTTCCCCTTAATAACAATATAAATTCGTATGGTAAATATAATTCCCTCGTATAAGAAAATCGGCTTTTAATATCTATCTTATCAATCCATCTTGAAATCATGGAAACAATATTTAAATTAACAATAGTTGTATCAATAATTCCATCAACCTTTCGACATCTAGGAAGTAAAATGTCATCACTTGGCTCACTATCGGGATCAAAATACGAATTTAATAATTCTTCATAAAGTTGATAATTCAAAAGTCTTTTATATGGACGGACTTTTTTAATGAATTCATCAGAAGTTAAACTGAAAAATCTAACAAAAGGTAAAAATTGTTGCAATGTATTTTCCATTATTTTGAAATCATTGTCTGACCAAGTTTTAGGATCTGAAATTAGTGTGGGATTTTTTTCAAGACCCCATTTTAATAAGCGTTCCCAAATAACAACCTCTTTCATTTGTAAATCATCTCTTTTGATAATTGAAATTAAGGCCTTTTCAGAAAGAGAGGTAAAGTCAAGTGATCCCAATGTTTTTTCGGGTGTTGTTGCCATAAGTTCTATACAAAATTGTTGAAGTTCATATAAAGAATTAGATTGAAGGCTTTCTGAATAAGCTCGTTCAAAATGTTGTTCTATCCATTCGGATTTGTTTTTGATTAAATATATTTGTAAATGTTCAACAAGTTCTTGAAGAAGAAGCTCATTAGCCGCAATCAAAACATCAAAAATTTCCGAGGTTTCATACTCATCTAATGAAATGATTCCGCCATAAATATATCTATATTATAAATATCTAAAAAGATTTAGAATATAAAAAATCAATAAACTTGGTATTTATTCATAACTTACTTCAAAATAATTTGAAAGGTTTCCGATAAAATATTTGGCAACTTGATGTGAGTTAAGGTGCTGTCATTGTTCTTTCTATTTGTAGCCAAAGTTCGTCGAAAAAATGGTGAACGGTAACACAATATAATCATATGTGCACGAAATATTTTGACGCTTGGGTCTTCCCCTGTTTCGATTGTAATATCATAATATTCATCGTCATCTAATATTTCAATATAATCTTGACTTAATTTGGAAAAAAATTGTGCCGACATTTTTATTCAATAAATTTTGAAAGAAAGTCTTTTGGAAGGAAAAATTTGTAAATCCCACCTCCTCCTATATATAGATAAAAATATCATCATTCTTTGAACCAATCAGAATTTATTAACACATGCTTAATTTGGACAAGTCCAGAATTAATTTTAATCAGGTTAAATATTAATTCCCGTCCAGGGACACCATAATTTCGCTATTGTTTTCGATATTTGCAGTTAGTAGATCATTTTGACAGGTAATTAGGAAGCCAGGCAGGATGACAAAATGACGAACAAGTTTATAAGCTGATACATCTTTTATACATATCGATGATCGTTTTGACCTTTTTTCATACCATTTATGTTTATAAGAAGTGGCGTTAAATCCTAATACTTTGTCTATTTGTAAGATTCACTTGATAGGATTTGTATTCCTCAAATAATTTGTACTTTAAACATAACATAATCGATTGCAATTTTAAGGTGAAAGTAAAATCACATCACGATTTACTATATCTCATGACTTGATTTTACTGGAAACGTTCACGAATATTTCATAATTACAAATAATAAACTCCAATAAAAGGTGTTTTGCTTTCATCTTGCCTTGATATTAAAGACAAGGTCGTTTAAAGCCGAATGTTTTGTGATTGTACATTTTTGGATAAATGTTTTGCTCTTCTAGGTCAAACTGTGGTCAAAAGACATCCAACCTCTCGTAATTTTTTTTAATTACGCAATTGCAAAAATTTTTGACGATCAAAGATTTTTTTTTGCGCAACTGTCACATTTTATGCTTAAATCATTAATACTTAGCAAAATAACCATTTTTTTTATCTGTAAGCAGTTGTGCGTTTTGGCAACGAACTCCTCAGGGGCGACGTAAATCTTTTGCCGATATTACATAGCATGTGATTAACGATTCGATTTAAAAGTTCTCAGCTAATAAAAAAAACTTAGTGCGTCAGCCCGCTTCTACATAAGAATTGAAATTACATATGTAAGCTTTATAATGAACAAAACTTTAAGTATGTAATAGAATTAGAAAGAAATCTCTGCGTAAAACCAATTTAAATTTTGGTCAAAATTTTTATTGTTTCCAGTCATGTGCATAAAATTAGAACCAAAGTTACATAGTATAATAGTCTGTTTTAAAATGGGCCAATTTGAAGTTTTATTATATAGCTAGATGAGTTGAGTATGGCATATCATACCAAAATATCCAAAAGCTTTTGATTATTTTTTAATTAATTGATAAATCCGATCCAATTAGCTGCTCGTCATATAATTATTGTTAAGTAACTGCATATGAATTGCTAAGTAAAAACAACTAGCGTTAGATCTAACATTTATTAAGCTTTATTCCCACAGTCTATTATTATTATAACTTGCCAAATTTAGTATGATCCGTTGCATATTTGATTAAAAAGATCTATTATAAATATAGTTAGTTAGATCTTGAGCTGTCAAATTGATGAATAATTTGAAATAGTAACCATTCGAGATCTTGATCTTTTGAGAAATAAGCCTTTCAGGATCATAAAATTTTGCAAACTTGATCTATCAGGATTCTGTCTTTATCGAGTTTATGCATGCCAGGATCATAATATGTCAGGATTATGTCTATTAGAATTTTGGATAAACACTAACTAAAATTTATGCACCTTACAAAATGTAATTTTACATAATGCCTATAAAATATACATTTTTATGCAATTTTACATAAATTTATAAATATAATTACATAATTTTATACATAAGCTTATGCAACTTACGTTAATAATTATATCATATAGATAATTAACGTAATATTAAACTTTATCTTTAAATTATCTTAAACTTTAATTTAAGAATATATTTACATGAATTAAAAACTTTGAAATAAAAATATTTTATTAAGCTTATATGAATATTTATTTATACTTAATTACAATTATTTAAAGAACTAAAAAGAAATATTAACGCTTAAAAATTATTTTGAATATTATATGGGAAGATTGCTAGGAAAATTAAGCTCTGGGAATTTTTAACAAATTTTGATTTTTATTGCATTTTAGTTTTTGATGTTATTAGATTAAAGATGCAATAAAGTTTAATTTTAGTCAAAAAATTCCCAGAGCCTGATTTTCCTAGCAAACTTCCCATATTAGTAATCCACAGCTATATGTAAACCGCTTAATTATTATAGTGAGTGAAGCAATAGTATAAAAAAAGCAACCCCAAAAATTTTCTCTTTACATTTAAATTATAATAAATGATGCGACGCGTTTAGTATACGATACTTTTATGCACTCCCAAAAACAAGAAAAATTTGATTAAAAGTCTTGGATATTTGCGACCTTTATAATTTATAATCTACGACATTAATTCATCACACTACACTATTAATCTTCAAAGTATTCCATGTTATTTTCGCAAAAATTGTAATTGCTAGATGTAACGAAAATACTTTCGTAACAAAAAATTTAAACTAGGCTTAATATATAATATTTAGCATCTCGTTCAAGTTATATCTAAATTCTGCGATTATTTGTTAATTTATCTTTTTGTTCAGAATTAATAATTGCTTCTAATTTAGTTAATATTTCGTTTATTTTTGGTGGATTATCATCCAAACATTCTGAAATATTAAAAATTAATTATTTTAAACTTTAATCATAAATATGTTTACCAGTATAAACCTTTATATACTCTTCAGAAACCTTATTTCTTCTAAGGCCCTCTTTAATCATTTGCAGTATCAAAATTTTCTCCACTTGATATTTCATATAAAAGAATGCCAACATTTCGAACATTTTCCTTCTTTCGTAATTCTGATTGTTCAGATTCTTCTACGATCCTTTCTAATTGTCCAAGGCCAATCAGTTTTACACACTTTTGATGAACACACACATTGTAGGAATGCTATTATTATTATATAAGGGTATAAATTAAAAAAATATAAATACTGTATTTTTAAATTAAAGCATATAATAAATTATAAAATTTACCAAATTATACAAACAAGATACAGCGCGAGCCAATTGTGATGCTAAATTATATTTATCATACCAAGTAAGCTGATTAAAATTTTTCTTCAGATATTACTTTAGAGTATTGCCATCAGCATAATCCAATACTAGCAAATATCTCTTTTCTAATAAAAAAACCATTAAGACTAATTAAATTCATAATACACAATATTTATAATAAAAATACCTTGTATAGTAATGCATGAAAACGAATAATAATGTCATTAAATTTAATTTGTTTAAGCTAATAAAAAATTATAAATATACTGCGATGACTAAACAAAAAAAAAAAGTGTCAGTATTAAGATTACCTCATTAAAGACATCCTTAGCTCTATCATTGTTAAATTCATTAAAACATATCAATTTGCAATATAGGTTTCAATATCACCATGGCAAAAATTTAACACTTTAAAATCATTAAATTTGCTAAATTCGAATTTTTTAATATTTTTTTTTTTAGAAATAGCTTCTTCTATCCAATTAACCCACATAAATTTAGCAGTATAAAAATAATTTAAAATTCAAGTATCAAAAAAATTAATTAATAAATTAATTTAAATTATTCTTACTAATTTCTAAATCATCTTGGTTTTGTTCGGATATGATATCTTTTAATTTTCGAAAAATAATAAATTACAAATTTTAACATTTTCATATTTAAATTATTACTTACTAAATCGGATACTACCAATTTGCAAACTTTGATAATCTTTAAAGGAAAGAAGATATTAATTAAATGTGTTTCATGAGGTATTTATTTTGAGATATTAAATTTCTTAAATAATCACCTTGTTCATCTGTTAATAAAAGATTAATAATAAAGATTATAATTTAGCTAATAAGAATTAAATGTCTTACCTTGAGTAGCGTTTCTTGGTATAGGTAAAGTTTCAAACACATGAGTTTACTTGCTAATGAACTAAGACCCGGTGTTAGACCTGGAATCATCTCAAACCAAGCTAACAAAATCAATAAACTTAATAACACAATTATCTCAAAGGCCTTTTCTAAGAGAAATTTATTATCACGATTCACTTGTGTAGTAGGTTATCACGATCAATCCTATGATGAAGACAAGAAGAAGGCTGAAAGTGTAAAATAGTAACTTTATTAAACTGTAGAGTTATAAGTCTAGTCCCAAGACTTATTCAGAAAACTATCTGATCGAACTCTGTTGACTCAAGGTCAACTTACAGGTCTATTTATATAAAATTGTTAACTAATACTATACTACGCCTTTCAATAAGTACATATAATGAAAATAATATAAGTAATGAAAAGTAGACTATTTATATTAAAAGGTAAACTATTCGATACATGTATTATAAAGTCGATCAAACAATACATGTCATGTATTACATGTTTAACATGTATGATATTTGGCGCAGTTGAAGATCATTTGAGGCACAGTATGAACTGCGGCTAACACCGGACCCGTATTATTTATTTGTAAATATGTATTATTATTGCTATAATTTATATGTCGTTCATGTTTAAACTGAAGTAACATTCATTAATTTGTTTGGAAACGGTAGAAATTTCGGGTCTTTTAAATTGATCAGCATCCATTAGCTTATGATATAGTTTTGGAGTTTCGGTATAATTTTTGGTCTTATTCCACTCAATATTCTCAATACAAGATAATAATCATGATCACAATAAGAATAAGGTGGTTGTCTGGATGAAATTTCCCACATAAGTATACCAATACTATAAATATCCGATGCTAAAGTATATTTTCTATTAACTAAAACTTCAGGTGCTATATAGGGAAGATTCCATAAATACTATCTAAAGGTTTATTAACAGGACCACAAAATCCGAGATCACTAATATACCAATCAAATGTTCTTTGTGAATATAATACATTTCCGGAATGCAGATCTCTATGGACCGCTTTCTCTTGATGAATACTAAAGAGTGCATTGATAATTTGAAAAATAATTTCAATTCTATCTTTCCAGGTAAGCTTATCTTGATTTTCTTGCAAACATTTTCTTAAATCCATATCCATTTTGATCAATATCAAACCACTTATTGCTTATGCGTAAATGCGATTTTGCCTATATTTGAAATTTATTAAATATCATTTACGTGATAATAAATAATAAAATTATATCTACATACCTCATCAAACCATCTTATATTAGCACTTTTAATATTTTTTAATGGTTTAAGTATTACTTTATATGTGGCAGTTCTTTCTAATGTTTTTTCGTTCAAGTTCCATTCATAATAGGGTCCATCATTCCAATCTGCTGTATAAATTTCAGAGCATCCACCTCGGGTTAAATATTTAATATTTTCTAACTTTTCGTATGGGATCCACTCAATTATCATGTTTGGAGCGAGGGATTATATTTGACATTCCCGTATTAAATGATCAATATCATCATTTTCAGATATCCAAGTTGAAAATTTTGCCTTTAAATAATTTCGAATACAATGCTCACAATATGACGTAGCTAAACATTCATATCACAATTTTCACAAATTCTTTTTGTTCCATAATTATAAACAATTTTATGATAATCCAATAGTCCATTTAATATTTTTATAGCAAGATATTTTTCATTTGGTGCAGGAATATTTTTGTTCAATATGTTGTATACTCAATTGATGTCGCTTTTCTAGATAATTACTATCAATTAATGAATCTGCTTCACTAATTGCATCGTAAATTGATTTATTTGCATCCGATTCGTATTTACTCATCATAATTCTTAAGACAAAAAGGTTCTGGAATCTGAATTCTTCAATTCCGTTAATATAATTATTTAACAGATTATTTGTGACATTTATGCCGATTGTATGCATTTTGCACGCATATGTTTCATTTCTATAATATTCTAAAAATAATAAATTGCTATATACGGAGTAACCTGTCACACATTACAGACGGATAACGAAACCCGAGGCCGTGTAACATTATGGAACTTTGCCACTCAGATGTAACAAGTATGGTGAACCAACTAGGTATATTAACTACGCCTTGACTACAAACAAGCAGTCTCTCAAGTTTAGAAACTAAGTCTAGAATTACTAAATCTAGTTTCAGAGATAGTAATGAATGAAATTTACTGAGCCATACGCATGAAAAGAATCATTTCCATTCTGTGTTATGAAGATAGTTTTTTTATAAAGTTCACGATTGTTTCTTTTTCGATATATTTATAAATTATTTGTGGGACGGTGTCCCCTAAAAAAGCGCAAATTTTTTTTTTTTAAGAATTTTTAATTTGATTCAATAAGGGCGAAATTACTCAAAATATTCTGGAAACTAACAGCTGAGGTTAGTATTTACTATTCCTTGCGGAATAATTAAAAATGTCTATAAATTTGGATGAATTTATGCAAGAAATTTATTAAAAACATTAGCTTCCTTCAATATGTTTTTATTTTTTACATCACGAAATCTGTTATTATTATGAAAGAGGAAGACAATTAAAATTTACATAATCTTTACTAACAGATTTTCAACAGGTTAGATATCAATCATAAAATCACAATTGCTTGCGTTCCCATATCAAAGTATAAATGTCATATTGTTAAAGAAAAAAAAAGTAAATTTATTTCAAAATGGAACAATCAATAAGAAATATAATATCGATATACAGTATATAGAAAAATAGAAAGAAATGTCTATAAGATAACTTTTTTTATATAAGAAATCAGCAAATAAAAACAATTATTCGTTCAAAAAGATGTTCTTTCGTGCCAAACCAGTATTTCTCTGCCATTAGGCGAAATTAATTTGGTATTCCTCTTATTTCTCTTTGGGATTCCCGTATTTTCACTATCAGATGGATGCTGTTTAAAATCCTGAAAAATAATCACACTCTAAATCAACATAATCTTGAGTGATATATAAATTACTTCTCCTCATATTTCGTTATTGATATGACAACTGAATGAGAAACCGATATTTTCATTAAATAATCCTCTTAATTTGTTTTAATTTTCATCCATTAATGCAAGTAGGTTCAGGAAACGTTTCGAGGATAATTGATTTTGAGATTTTGACACAGATATCTTCCTACTGGATCTCGAGCTTAGGAATTCTGAATTCGATGTGTTCCTACTGAATTTCGAGCTTAGGCGTTTTGACTTCGATTTGTTCCTACTGAATTCCGAGTTTTGGGAATTCGTATCAGATCCGGTGCCAATATCATTTGATATTTTGTATGGTCTGTCTACGAACGAGAATTCAAACATATTCATATTTATATTGGCTAATATATTAGTTTCTTGATTATGCGTATGAATGTTTTCATTATTATCAGACATACTGTATTATAAGAATTTTTGACATCAAAAAAAAAAAAATGATGTAAAAAATTACGAATGAAAAACTGATTTATGTTAAAATTTTTCTTATTGCAAAATCTATTGAAGATCGCTTCCATTTACATATTCCATCTACGTGTTCCATCGATGTGTTACATTGATGATGAGTTTCATTGATAAGTTCCGTTGATGAGTTCCATGATAAGTTCCATTGATAAGTTCCATTAATGTGTTTCATTGATGAAGAGTAGAGTCCGTCTTTATAAGTCCTGCTTTCATTATCATAGAGAATACAGCGAGAATACGAAAATTAAATTAGTGTGGCTAATTTTCGAAGTTGATATCCGTAAAAATTCCAACTTCATATTATTTTTAAAGCAAAAATTATTATATTAAACTTTGTATTAGCAGGGCAAATAGAATTGAATTTTTAGTTTCTCGTAACAAAATTTTAAGTGTCGGTCGGGAAGCTATTTGTTAAATGTGATACAGAGGGCTACGGAACATTTTGGACGATTTTAGATAGGTTTTGGACAGTTGTCCTACAATATTAAAAATTAAAAATATGTCTACAGTATATCTTCCTATTACCAGCCTTTATCCACGTGACTTCAAATAATATGCCACCCTATGTCACGCTCGCCCAAAGTAATATAATGCCGGCCAAAAATCATGTGGAGTCGGTCTTGTGATTTTTTTATGTGCACGTGATTTGATTTATAGGTGACAACCGCGCCCAAAAAATGGTGCCGGATTTTTTGATCTTCAAAATGAATAAATCAATTCACGCTACAATTAGTGAAGCAGATTATTAATTGATAGTAATTGATTGATTAATTTATTTAATAATAATTTTTTTTGTTAATTAAAATATTTAAAATAGGTAAAGATTTAATGATTAGGTCTAAAAAATTAAAGTCCAATAATAATAAAGGTAATAAATGATTTTAATTAATTTATACAAGAACAATTATTTATATCTTTAAGTTTACAATTAGACATCAATAAAAATGAGGTCGGATTCCAATGTAAGAGAAAATTTTGATTATTTAAATATACAAATCAAATTTTTTATTTAAAAGCACAATCCAATATTATAATTTAGATGAAGATATCTATAATACTAAATTTACGTGGATTAATTGGTTATAATAACTTTTAATAACTAAACTAATATTAAATAAAAGCATCTTTTTGAAATAATTCTTATTACTTTTCAAGGTAAGACTTTAATTTTAAAAGTGATTAATCATAAAACTAAAGATGTAAAATAGCTTATTAAAAAATTAATAGATAATGCTAAACAAAAGTTATTTAAATTAATTGCATATATTAGATTTTACTAGTAAATAAGTTACTACAAGATAAATATTTATATTACTAATACTAACATTTATATAATTTAAAAGATTAAATATTAAATTACTTTTATAATTTAATAAATTATAATTGAAAGTAGAATATTCTAATAAAACTTTTATATCTTACAAATAAATTTAATTGTTAAAATTATTTTCAAAAAATCTAAAACTGATAAAATAATATCAAAAAATGCTATATATATTATTAACTACTTTTATTTTTACTATACTTAAAGTATTTAATTTTTTTATGATTTAATTTTTATAGATATAAATTCTTTTTAAAATATTATTAATTAAAATTTTTTTAAAAAGCATAGAAATCTAATAGTATTATAAAAAATAGATTTTTATAATATTACTTTTTACCAGTCTTATAAAAATTTTTTTTTGTGATTTGATGTTAAATTTTTCTATAATTTGATTCTGTATTTTTCTCATTTAAATTAGTATAATTTAATTTTGAAATTTTTTTATAAATGTAGCATATTCAAAGAATTTATAATTATAAAAAATAGAGATTTTACAGAGATTATTTTACTATATATTAATTATTAATTTAATGAAATAGATATTTATTGAAATAAAATCTGTATTTTTATTGAATAATAAAATAGATAAATATAGATAAATTTCAAAATTAAATTGTATCTTTACTGAATTATAAAATAGATAAATTTTAAAATAAAACTGTACCTTACTAAATTATAAAATAAATATATTCTGAAATAAAAACTGTATCTTTACTGAATTATAAAATGAATAAATTTTGAAATAAAAACTTTATCTTTATTTAAATAATAAAATAGATAAATTTCAAATAAAAATTGTATTTTCATTAAATAATAAAATAGATAAATTATGAAATAAAAATTTTATTTTTACTGAATAAATTCAGAATTTCTATTATTCTTTTTAGCTCTCTTACTAATTCTTGTAAAGGAATTTTTGAGTAATTTTAGTTATTTTTTATTTATTTACTTCTTTTACTTTATCTATAAAAAATTGATAAATAAAAATAAAAAATGAAAGCATAAAAAGCTATAAATAAAATTAAGTGACTAAGTAATTAATTTAAGATATATATTAATATGAGAAAGTAAAGAGTAAATAACTAAAAAAATTATTAGCAATGAATAGTATTAAAATAATAAACTCTAAGGTGAATAAAAAAATAATAGAAGTTAAAAATTAAAGGAAATAATAAAAGAAAATATATTATACCTTTTAGAGTATCAGCAGCTTTAGTTATAATTGAAGTATTTATTTCTTAAATAACTTTTGAAGTATTAACAACTTCAGTTAAAACTGAAGCATTTATTTTTTAATTATCTTTTAAAATGCTGGTAATTTTAATTATATTTGAAATATTTACTTTTGAGTAGTTATTAGTAAAATTATTACTATATAATTAAGTGAAAATTTAAAGATAATAGAAAGAATTTAAATATTAAAATCATATCTAAAGTTCTAAGAACTTATAAGTTATTATTAAATTCACATATAGAATTTTTTATTCTAAGCTTTATTTTAAGAAAAAGGTAAATATTCTTTTTTTGGTAATAATAAAACCTTTATTTTTTGCTTTTGCAACATTTTTTCTTTACTTAATCAATTTTCTGTAATATTAATATAAATTAAAATTTTATTTAAATAGTACATTAAAATAAAATTAAAAAATACTTATTAATATTATTACAATATGAGGTAAGCTAATCATGAAAATAAAGTCAGTTTTAAAAATTGAAAATGTTGAATTTAGTCTTAAACTATATTAAATAATTATTAGTATTTATACATTTTGAAAATTATTAATTCAGATTGCTTATATCATTAATAATCTCTTTTATTTATTTTTTTTAATAACAGGATAGAAATTCACTATAAGTAAAATAGGAAGTAACATAATTTCATTAATCATTCTATAACAATAATAATATAATTTGTATAAAAATTAATTATATTATTAATAAATGATGATAATATATTTACCTTAAAATACAATATTGTATTTTATTAAGTTTTAAAATTTCATATCTCTAAAATTCATTTTATTATATTTTTAAACTTTCTTATAATATTTATATTCTTTAAGCTTAATCAGATTTATTATAAAACCTATTTGTAATTACAATACATTGTAATAAAATATTAATTTTATTAAATATTAATCCTTATTATTTATACAAAAAACTACTTATTTATTTATTATATCTTATACAATACTATATGTACTTAAAAATAAAAAAGAATTAATAGTATTTAATATAGTATATAAGTAATGATATTATTTAGAATTTAAAGATTTAGATAATAATAAATCAGTATTAAGTAGCATAAGAAATAGATAACAAAGTTCTTTAGAAGTAAATACATATAATAATATTAATTAGAATATTATTTTATGACATTTTTTTGAAATTATTAGCAATAAAAGGTTAAAAAAAAAACTTAAAAAATTAATGAAATGTTATACTATTTATACTATTTTAAACTTTTTTATTAAAGTATAATTATACTTACAATTAATATAATAATTATATTATTTATAAATTAATAGTTAAATTAATTTTTTTTGAATTAATTAAAATAGTAATAAAATATTTTGTTTCTATTATATTCATATACTTTTATATATAAATAAAAAACAATTATTTTAATATAAAAATTCAGAAATAATCTATTAATTAAAATAGTTGAACAGATTTTTTATACTTGTATTTAGTATTTACAAAAATTAAATAGCTAAAGGTAAATAGTTAATCAAGCAACTTGTATAAAATATATAAAAATCAAAAAAGTACTTGATCTAATAATAAAGGCTTCCATTTTTTATAATATTTTGATATTAAATCAAAATAAAGAAAATAATGATGTAATACTTAAATATTGTAATATAGTTAAAAATCCTATTGATACAACAAGTAATGATAATGAATATGAAAAGGATCATAATGTGATTGAAAATATAGAAAGTGATGAAGATATATATGAGGATTATAGTATAATTAAGGATCAAATTGAAATGAAAAGTAATGATGAGTAGAAAAGGATCATAATGTAATTAAGAATTAAATTAAAATAAAAAGTAAAAAAAAGGATGATGAATATAGCAAAAAAAATATTGAATATCTAATAAAATCAAATAATAGAAGATAAAGAGAATAAATATAATGAAGAAAATAATGATAAAAGAATAAGTATAATAAAGAAATTTTAGAAGAATTAGTTAAGGACTTACAGCTTTTTCAAATTAAGAAGAATATAATATTTTAGAAGCTGCATTTAATAAACTTCTTAAAGCTCTAGAAATTTTTAAAGTATCTCTTTTTAAACTTTAATACTTCTTAAAAATATTATTCTATTAAAACTAATACTTATAAATTATTGTATTAATTTATATGTAATATTCATAGAAATACTATTTAATAAAAATATTTATTTATATTATAAGAAATCTCATTAAAAATCTGATCAGATTGCTCAAAAACATGTTTTTTATTGATCACTTATAGACTTACTTCAAATATAATATTTGAATAAAACTCATGTAAAATACTTTTTATTATTATTAATATAATTATACTTTACTCATAAATATTCTAATGATAATCAAACATGTGATATTTATGATGGCTT